GATTTAGAAGAAACGTCTAGTGATGACGAATAAAAATAAGAATAAAAAGTTTAACGACTTGTTTTGCAATAAATGCCCCATTTGGTAGAATTGACTTTTTAACAAAAAACTTAAAAAAACCACTATTCATATATCATTTTGCAAAATCCCCCGTCCATCTTCCCCCCTCCTCAAAACCCACTTCTCAAATTGAAATCTTTCAGATTTTTATCCCATCTGCAATACAGAAATGGCGAGAAAATTGTTTATATCATTAATATTCTTCTTATTCTCATTATTATCCGCAGAACCCACAGAATCAGATTCTCAATCCTCCCCATCATCTACAATATACGACGTGTTGGTATCCCATGGACTCCCAATTGGCATCTTCCCTAAAGGCGTTTTCAATTTCACCCTCGACCCCGCCTCCGGCAATTTCCAGCTCAATTTGTTGTCCCCTGCCCCGTGCGCAGCGAAATTCGAGACCGCGGTTCGTTATGAATGTGACATTAAAGGAACAATTGCGTATGGACAGATTGCTAATTTGTCGGGTTTAGCCGCACAGGAATTGTTTCTTTGGCTTCCTGTTAAGAGCATACGAGTGGATGTACCGAGTTCTGGTTTGATTTATTTTGATGTCGGGGTGGTGTTTAAGCAATTCTCTTTGTCGTTTTTCGAGACGCCTAAGGATTGTAATGTGTTGGAGAAGGGAGATGGAGGGAATTCAATTGTTTTGTTTGATTACAGCAGGCGAATTGTTGAGGTTGGTAAATTTTAATCTTTTTGATTTTAGTTTTTAATTTTTAATGTTTTCAATCTTTTAGTTAATTTATTTTTTCAAATGGAGAAAGGTGAAGTAGAGTTCGTGGGTTTTGTGCAGATTGTGTTGTTTTCTTCATTTTTGTCCTAAACTATCTATAATTTACTTTTTGCGTGTAATCATGGATTGCATTTTTTATAGCCAGTTGAATTGAGGTTCAAGGGATATTATGTCTCGTGATTCTTTTCCATTTGTCCTTAATCTTGTGAAGTTTGACATGCATACAATATATTTTGTACGTTTATTAAGAATGAGGAGAATTCTTTGGCCTGCCCTTTTCTGGTTTTCTCGTGCATATTTTTTCTTATGAATTTTTTGTCCATTGTAGTTGATATCAACTTAAGAACACCCCCCCCCCCCCCCCCCCCCCCCCCTTTTTTTGAAATTGAAATTGATAAGTTGCAGTAGAGAGTTCTTTGTGAAGTTAACTCAATCAACTAAATATCAAACTTTAGAGCTTATTCTCTATGCACATGAGCGGCTCCCTAAAATTTTTAAGGAGAAATAAGTTTGAGACAGACATTGAATGCAAGAAGTGCCAACAAGCATCTAATATTTCTGGGTCTGTTTATGCAACTGTTGGCTTATGAATAGACATGTAATTTGTGCTTTATCAAAATCTAATGGGTATTTACAATTGGAGGAGATTTTTAATTGTATCTTTATTGTGATTCCATCATTCATGCTAATTTGCCTACTAGATGTATGTGTTATCTGTAAATATAGAAATATTCACAATTCGCAGGAATTGTAGGACAACAGACTAGAAGGCGTCTCTTGTGTTTACTTCAAGCCTACTTTGAGAAATGGTGTATGAAAGTTTTCTGAATTCTGAAAATTAGCTGTGGTGAGAGGTGATGAGAGAGAATAAGGCTGTGCAGAGGGACAGTGGGTGTCCATGGAGGTTACAGGCTGCCTTCCATCTGTAATGGTTTAAAAGTTAGTTTGGAATTGGATCTTCTTAACGGTTCATAAAATTAGGAATGAGAATACACTGATATTTGGTGAAGAATATTTTCTCAGGAATAGAAATTGCAATCTGAATTTCAGATGTTTTTGAGGTGTTTAGGCAACTTGGCACTGCAGGCACAGTTTTGAATTTTTCTGAGTTTGGAATTGTAGTTGTATATTCTATACCCTAGAAATTCATGATGAAGAGTAAAGCAAATTTTTAAATTGGGTGACATGCTTGAAACAACGAATAGCGTGAGAAATCTTTGGTCACGTGACCGGGGATATTTCCATTGCCATGAACAGTAAACCCAATATCTTAATTCTCGAGAAATTTGTAACTTTTAGATCTGGAACAGCATTCTTGATTTGTTTCTTGGTGAGGAAATGATAGAGATTTTGTAAGGAGTGAAAATATGTTGTAGTAATTATAGAACACTAGACTTTATAGCTTAGAAACAATTTGGAGTTCCGTACTTCTTTATTGATGACTTTTTAGATGTTACGTAAATTGGATTGTGATAGCTATAAAAAATGGTACTAATGGAATCTGATATAATCTATATTTGTATATGGTCTACATCCTATTGGCAGTTTGGCATCATTTGCTTAAGTCTGTACTTGTTAACGAGAGCATGAGACAATTTGCTTTTTTTTCAACTAGGGAGAAATATTTAATTTTAATATGTTTAAAATAAGACATGCAGATATGCAGTTGAAGTTGGTTAAAACATTTTGTAGGGGCAAGTTGCCTGCTTGTTCACTATTGCGGAAATTGAGGAGGCTTACTTATAATTTTGTGGGTAGAGAAGAGGTGATAGCTTGTGGCTTAATGAAGCACATCCCTTCACATTTAGTTGAATGGGAAGAAAATCTGTGCTTCTGACCTCAATCTAGATGGTATGGAATAAGATATTGTGAAGTACAGTTATATGTTATGTGATATTTGTAATGGAATGTTTTAAGAGATAGTCAGAATAAAAGGAATTAAAGGGGCCACAATTTTTTTATTTGCCTAAATACTTTTACTTTCAAAAACATTTCTGCTGTGTGTAATGTGTGAAAGAGGTAAGAGGCATTAAAAACTGGCTCCGGTGTGCAAAAGAACAGTAGTGGGTCAATAGATATATCACTTGAGCTGCTAGATTATTGTTAAATCATTCGAGTTGCACTGATTTTGGAGTCTATAACAGCTCTCGTTTTTACCATCATCATTTGTTTATTTTCTCCATGTGCCTTGGCCACTCAGGACGAGAAAAGGAAGGTACATTACATTCGCGTGTTGCTAAAAATTTAATTGCCATCTTATTGTAGAATCAATCTGGAGGGTTCGTCAGAAAACACTTTGGGGACTATGCACGGAGAGCTGTTGCATGAATTATGGAGGTGAACACGAGTGGATCTAATGAGGCGAAGAAGTGACATTTTATACACTTGATTGCTTGCTTACATTATAGGATATGTACCCAAAGCTTCCTCTATATGCGGAGCAAGGTTTCAGTTTTGTAGAGGACAGGAAGAACAAGCAAACGAGGACTAGTTTTACCTTTTGGTGAATCGGTGGTAAGGTTGATTTCTTGACGATTTGTGTTGTATAATTATCTCAAGATAAATGTTGGTTCTTGTTAAGCTGTTACAATGCATGTATAATGTTGTATGGAGTTTTTGTAAATCAATAAAACATATCGATCCTTGTACGGGTGAACAAAAAAACTGCTGATTGTAAACCTTTGGTTTGGTGAACCCGTCAACATTTCAGCTCAAACAGAATTAAGTGAATAGGAAATTGTTTGGTTTGGGTTTCGATTTTTAAATACTCTAGAAATCAACCGAAATGTTTTAAAAAAAGAAAAATACTTGTTTTACCCGAAATAAGTTATTTATTAGTTTAATATACTTCAACAAATTTAATAATTTCGTTGTTAGAGAATTTGAATGGATTTTTAGGAAAATAATAATTTATGAGAATGTTTTCTTAACTTTTCAAGTAGAATGAATTTGAAAGCATAAATTTTATGGTTGAATATGTCGATATTGATTTAATCTTATATACAGATAAATATATTTGTATTTTAATGTTTATGTTTTGAAGGTTTTACTTTGTGTCATGTTGAGATTTTACATCCAAATATTTATTTTTTCACTTATTTGAATGATAACCATTTTTTTTCACTAAAAAGGTGATTTGAAACAAACTGAATTGCAAAATATGATTTCATTTGATTTAGTTTGGTATGAAAATAGTTTAAAAATTGTTTAAATCGAACTGTATGCATCCCTAATTTTTTTTATATGAAATTTGAGATAATGGTTAGCTTTGTCTAGAAACGATACATTTGAAAGTTATGTAAGTCGAAATGAAAAAATGTCATAACCATAGGATAAAAATGAGTTTTCTCTTATTATTGCAATGTGGAAATGGTATATATCCTTGTACTTCTGTTGATGATATTGGGCATGTCTTAACAAAATTTTAACTTCATTTTCATTTTAAATATTGTCCAATTCAGCAGAGTTCATTTGATCAAACAAGTCGTTATGCTGAAGAGCTGTCTACATTGATGCATTTCCTCGTATGTAATTGTAGACCTTATAGTAACGTCTATTAACTATGTGTTGAGAAACATTAGCATCAACACGGCTCCATAATTTACGTTTGTTTTATACGAAAATTAAGAATTTCAACTTACTAATTTCAAGTTGAAATAGAATACAAATTATTTTACCACTTTAAATGCATCAACAACAACAATAATAGAGCGAGCCCTAAATGAAGACCGAATCCTTACGTCTCCAAAGATCCATAACTTGCCACTTAAACCTTCCAACCAAGCTACCGTCGGTGACAGCTCGACGATGCCGACTGACCTAAACCCTAACTCCGACCTCGTGCCATCTATATTGGGCATTTTTACCCAACATCCCATCAACCCAGCGTAGGCTTAGGTTCTATCCCTTGCATCGCCGCTATTTCATACTCATCGATCAGTCAATAGAGAAGTTAGACCAATATAAGTGACTCCAAAATACATATGCATAAAATCATATCTAAACTCCGAAGGATGCGGTGGTGGGTAAAGTGCATCGAATCGAGCATAAAAAAATATTTTGTTGAGCTTGCATTGTCTCTTATTGAGTGTTGTAGTGAGCATAAAAAGGCATTTTTCCGAGCCTGTATCATCGCTTGTTGAGCTTGTATTTCATCTTGTTGAACTTGCAATTGGTGAAGCATCCCGCTAAGGCCATCGACGGAGGATGTAAGTGAATTAATGTGTCTGTTGAGAAGATTGTAGTGATCCTCTGTAAAAGTAAAATCGCTAGTAAGAGTATGAGCACTCAATCCTGAGATATCATGTAACGACTCGGATCCTACTTAGCGGGCTGTCTTGACCGTTAGATCGACGACGTACTGTCCCCACTGTACCAACATGAATCTTTTCAGCATACTTTATTCTCACTCGCACGCTCCCCAAGAAAACATTCCAGGGGGTCACCCATCATAGAATTGCTCTAAACCAATCACGCTTAACTGTAGAGTTTCTAACGATGATCTTCAGGAAAAGAAAGTGCACCTTGTTGGTATGAGTAGTACCTATCAAATCTTTTTAAACTTTCCTGGTCTGGGTATTACAATCACCCCTTGTCAGACTAGCGACGTCCTCATCTTGCTTGATCTATCTGAAGATCCGTTGCCAGACGTTGGGATTCTAAAGGTCGCTCTTACGGGTTCAAGAGGTGGCTCCCGCCCTATGGCGTAACACTTTTTACCTCATAGCACTTAGTTTCCGATTTCTGGCTGGCAACCGGGCTCTGATACCATTTGTAACGACTCGGGTCCCACTTAACGGGCTGTCCCGGTCGTTAGATCGACGACGTACTGTCCCCACTGTACCAACATGGGTTTTTTCAGCATGCTTTGTCCTC